ACCTTTGTTCTGGCTGGGTGGCTTAGTTGTTGAGAGCGTCATCCCATACACCAAAAGGTTGCAGGTTCAATTTCCAGTCAGGGCACATACCTAGGTTAGGGGTTCGATCCCTGGTAGGGGTGCATGTAGGAGGCAACCATGGATGTTTCTCTCTCACATTCCCATTTCTCTCTCTCTCTCGCTCTAAAAGACAATATATATATGGCACATATCCTCGGGTGAGGATTTAAAAAAAGACTGGCACCTTCTATTTTTTTCTTTATATGAAGCCAGACTGGCGCCTTCTATTTTTTTCCTTATGTGAAGCCAGCTTTTATGAAAGAGATATGACTATCCCAAGACCATAATGTGACAACCCAAGCTACCCACGTGGAGAGAGAAAGAGCTGAGGAGTACCAAGGCACCAGACATGTGACTGAATCTTCTCAGGCCATCCAGTTCAGCAGAGTTGCCCACTGAATGAAGCTGAGTGAGCAAAACCCTGCCTTATTTCCTGGCCACAAAATTGTGAGGAAATAATAAATCATTGTTGTGGTAGGCCACTAAGTTTTATGGTGGTTTGTTACACAGCAATATATAACCAAAGCACAGGAGTATCTATTCAAGTAAAAGAAAAGAAAGAAAAAGCATACTTTTTGACCCTGCAATACTACTTAATAGATTTTGGTACATCTATATCATGGAATGTTGATATCCTTAACAAGAATTAGTTGAGCCCTAACTGGTTTGGCTCCGTGGATAAAGCATCGGTCTGCGGACTCAAGGGTCCCAGGTTCGATTCCGGTCAAGAGCATGTACCTTGGTTGCGGGCACATCCCCAGTAGGGGGTGTGCAGGAGGCAGCTGATCGGTGTTTCTCTCTCATCGATGTTTCTAACTCTCTATCCTTTTCCCTTCCTGTCTGTAAAAATCAATAAAATATATTTAAAAAAAAAAAGAATTAGTTGAACTCTAGAGATATTCGTGATATATTGTTAAATAAAATGCAAGTTGCAAAACAATATGTATACTATAAACTCATTTTAAAAGATTAAAACAAATATATATGAATAAATGCTCTTTTATGTTTTTATGAACTTACAAAAAATATAGCTATTTGTAAAACTATTAACATTGGTGTCTTGTAGGAATAAGCACAGGGTGATTCTGGGTAGATAGGCTACAGACCTTATTTTTGTGTACTTGTGCTATTGGATTATTGCAAGCAGCAAAGATATTTTTTGTTGTTTGAAAGAAAAATCCAATAAAATCTACACTAATAAAAGAGAAACATGGTAATTAGCATACGACCGCTACCCTTCCCATTGGCTAATCAGCATATCCTTATGCAAATTAACTGTCAGCCAAGATGGCAGCCGGCAGCCATGC